CAGGAAGGAAAGTGCCTTCGGGAAGCACTCCAAAATCAGGCATCAGGTCGTCAGCCTGTCTCCTTCGCTGGGGCTGTTCTTGACTCTCCCGGATGGGATGTGAAGCCTCCCACTCCGCGTCCTTGTCAGCTTTGCCCCGGCTTCCTCCCCGACCGACTGAAGCAGGCAGGGTCCACCCCTGCTGCTCTGAGCAGGTAGAACTCGGCAAAGGAGGGCACCGGTGCAGCTGACCCCGCGGGTGGTCATCATCATACTTGATCAGTTTGTGGCGGAGGAGGTTGGATCCTCCTTCCCCTTCTTCTTGTTCCAGAGCTTGCGAGGCTTGGCATCCTCCGGATTTTCCCTGGCCGGATGTGGCTGGGTCGTGGTCTGTCCAGTGGCCTTGATGCCCGTCTCGATGAAATCCAGATCCTTCAACTAGGCCACACCGGCCGAGATCCAGCTGGCCTGCGCTAATCTGCTGAATGGCACCATCCCTACCCTGGCACGATTCTTCTGAGTCAGGGCATAGTTTGGCTCCGGATGGGAGGTAAGGAGCCAGGACAGATGAGCGCGGCCCCCATCGTTGGCCGTCTGGTCTACATAGAGGAGGCTGCGGCAGCAGAAACCCGGCAGTTGTTTGTTTCCTGATCTGAACCCGATCTCCCAGCCATTTGCCAATCCCGCATGAGGCCAGGATGAGGTTGCATGACATCTAAGCCCAGCTCCTCTAATCCATTCCGCTGGATCACTTCGTAGGCCTCGCGGGCGAGACACCCCTTGATGCCCCCTCCAGAGCTGCCTGCTTCCGAAGCGCCAGCTCCTCCTAGAGCTTGATGAATGGGATCGAAGTGGCGAGGTTGAGCCTGCTTTGACATCATCTGCATTTGTTTCATCTGCAGCAACATCATCCGCTGCATGGGATCCAGCTGAGCTGTCTCCAGCTCTTGAAGGCCCTCCTCCAACTCCAGACCAGATGTGGCCTCCGGCGCCTCCTCTTGCTGCAAGGCCTCCAGGATCTGTTCGGGCCGGGTCTCGCGAGCCAGTCGCTCGTGAGCACCAAGACGACTGGAAGCTCCTCCGGCCAATTGCTGCAGCCGCTGCAAGGCTTGCTCCAAAGGCTTGGGAGGGCCGGAGACACTGAAGAGCACCCCACCCGGACCTGGAGAGTCCGCTTTCAAGGAACCACGCATGGAGAGATCGGGCTGCCGCGGGAGGGCCTTGGTAGTGTGTGCCTCCAGAGCTGCGAGCCTCTTCTTTAGGGGAGTGCATCTGCCTCTCCTCCATCCTCTGCCGTGGCATAGTCGCCAGCTGCATCCTCGTCCATAGCTTGGCTGATCCAGGATTCGGCAGCGGCCAAAAGGGAATTTCTGCGAGGTCGGCAAGCCTGATCGTCCACACTGAACTTGAGCAGTTCGAAGGCTTGAGAACTTCTGACAGAATGGGCCCGAATGAACAGATCCGCCAGCTCCCAACATACTGTAAGTCTACGAGTAGCACCGTAGATGAAATTAGCAGTCTCCATTTCCACATCTGCCAAATGGATGACAGTTGCCTCGCCGCCAGCTTCGGTCTCGCCTTCTTGATCTTGAAGAAGAAGAGCAACCTCTTCCAGATCTGGAGCGGCGATCATGAATCCTCCATGGCGGACTCGAACCAGGTTGCTTTGGGCTCTCAAAACTGTGCCATTCTTTCGAGGTGGCAACCGAAGAAAAAGACCAGGAAGGGCGCCACTTTGCGCCCGGACTCCATAGAGAGCCCTGATCTGTCAGTGAGGGCTTCGCTTCCCGAGCGGAAGGGGAAGCATTTTGTTTGGGAGCCGAGAGGGTATGGCCGCCGCTCGGGACTGAACGAGGCGACCAATCTGCGCGCGGTCGGCCAGCGGAGCCCCATACGGCCTCCCTGAACGTACCGTAGTGATCGGTCCACCCAGCTGCACGGCCAGGAGCTCCCCTCAGCACCACGTAGATCCTGTTCGGGAGAGGAGAATCGCAAGCGGCCACCGAAGGCTGCCGCTGGAAGCCAAGCTTGTACTTGGCCAAGACCCCGCACTGTAAGGCGCGCCCAACGCGAGCAGCAGGTGACCAACCTCCAGGCGATGCCCGAAGCTTGCCAAACACATGACGAGCCCCGGAAAGGTGTGGCTTCCAGTAAGGCAGCCTCCCAGGCTGCAGAACCGAAGGCATGGATTACCGGGATCTCGAGGAGCGCTGAGCTAGTGGCACCCAGCTCGGCTAGCTCTCCAGCTGAAGAGCTTGGTGCTCCAGCCAGGGCTGCAAGTGCACCTGAACCAGGGGCTCCAACTAAGGAAAAAGATCCGAGACTGCCGGTCTCGTCTGATGCTGCAACGGCCTCACCTCCGTCCCGCGCAATGCAGATGTTGAGCCCTCCAAAGGAAATGGTGAGCTCGTTGAGCTCGTGTGAACTCATGCACCGTGCACACGGTACTGCCCCAGCCTGCGCCGCGCTACCACCCCAGGTTCCACTGGATCTGCCTCGACCCAGTGTGAGAGGATGAAGGTGGCCACCAGCTTGCACGCCCTGCGACAAGCTTGGGAAAGAAAGCAGGCCGATAGGAGGCCTCCGCAGCAGCAGCCAGTCAAAAAGGCCACGACCACACCAAGCAGCAACCAGGTGCAGGGGCAGCCACACGAGGAGTGCACCGGGAGGAGAAAGCGCAATTCCCGGAGCACGTCCAAGAAAGCGCCCCAGTGCATGCGCGTCCGGCCTTTTGAGCCAAGAAACTTGAGAGAGTGACTGCTCTGTACGCTCATGATAGATGAACATATATAATAACTTATCGCTAGGGTCCAAGAAGACCAAATGTCTCTGCAACTTCAGCCTCCAACTTCTTCGCCGTCTCTTCTGTATCTTTTCACTTTGCCTGCTGTTCTTCAGTTTGTATTGTATTTTCGATTGTCCCCAACCCCGAACCCACTTCTCAGGCTTCTTCCTTACATAACTGCAGTCTTCATCTGATTTTTCTGGGCTAGTACTTTTATGGTGCGGCGTAGCAAAGTCAAGGCTTGGCTGGGCAAACAATGAGGCTCCCGCCCGCGGTTTTTGCTTTTGACTTGACTTAGGGATTTGACTCCATCTCCCAAGGTGAGTTGTAGGAAGTGGAAAAGGGTGGGATTTGCTTCGCCGTCTCCTATTCATGACCGTGCGCGAGCTGATTTGCTCCATCACACCAAACCCAATCTTTGTGTGTTTTGTGAACATAAACTTCCTGGTGTGGCTTCGAGCTGCTAACACATGGCCTGGTTGTCCTGTGACTTGCCACGTCTAGTTGCTTCTTGGTTGCAGGGCTATGCCTATGCCAAATGCTTTTGGCCTTTGGCAAGGCAGAGTGCCAGTGAGGAAAGTCTGAACATTCAATTGCTCCACCCAACGAACGGATCTTGTCATGACCAAACAAACAAATGTCCCACTTCTTTCCCTGATGTCGGAGTGTTGCAAATCGTCACAAATCAGGCTCTGCTGATTGAGGGGCAAAAATGGGCAAAGCTTTGGTGAATGGCACACATCCAGTCTCAAAGTGAATGCGGAACTTGACGCTCACAAAATGGTGATCCATAGTGGCAAACACATCAACGACAATACCATGCAAGCTTGACGCAAACACCCACGCACTTTAAACAAGCAAACATCGCCCACACAAAACACGTGCAACCTGAAGCCACAGGCAAACCGGATTACAATACCAGGAGCTCTTTCGACCTCTGGGAAGCCACCCGGATCATTTTGGAACACAGACCGATTCCCACTATCCATGTATACGCATTTGATGGGTGGGGTGGGGGGAAGGGTGGCAACCGTGGAAGCACGCAAAATCACAGTGTATAACATCGGACGCGTTCCGATACAATCCATTTCGTGCGTTCCAAAACGATCCGAAATCCGCGTTCTAAAGCGAGGCGGCAACCTCTGGGAAGGGCTTGTGTAACAGTAGGTCTTGGTAGTCTCCTCACTGTTGTATGAAGTAGCATACAGCAAACACAAACACAAGACATTCTCCCCAGGATGGTGAAGCAACTGCTTGATTTGCAAAGCACGAATGCCCCCAACCTCCAACTTATGCACCACATCTACATCCTAGACCATGCCAACACCCTGTCCAGTTGTGGGGAAGAAGGAGAACAGCCAGGGGCCAGAGGGCAAATCAAGTTTCACCCAAACAGCCAAGTGCTCTGACATGCAGGGGGATCAGCCGCGGACGAAACCTTGGGGTCAGCTCCCTCAACCTGAAGGATACGATATTTCCCCAGCATACCCTCCCCTGCCCTTCCACACGCATTTGCGAGGAACGTGTAGGCAGTCAACATTCCCTAACGCACCCCCACGCACCCCCGCACAGAGATTCATTTCCCGTTGCACTTGAGTATGTAAACAAAGGTCGGTCGAAGGTGCAGGTTCAGAGACACCTGAAATCTGTTCTTGAAGTTCGGATGGTGGAAGTTCAGCTTACCGCAGTTAGAGGTTCAAAGGACTGCACGGTTCAAAGTTAGAGCTTTAATCAAATCAGCACTTGTTACTACTAGTAAGGCACCTTGCTACTAGTAGTTTCTTGTTACTAGTAGTAGTGCCCTTGTCACTAGTATCTATGCACTTGTTACGAGTAGCTTATTCATTTGGTTAACTTGAAATATCAAGGAAAGGCCTGAAATTGCCGGTGAGCCAAAGCGGGGTGTCTCATACCCAAGTGCTAGAATGCACCTCAGGGAGGACTGCTGATCGCTTACAGATTCTTGTCATCAGGGGACACTAGCTCACTAGCCGAAATGAAAGAACCGGCCGTTTGCAAGTTGCATCGAACACAAACAGAAGCGGATGGCGAAGTCCCAAGAAAAATCCCTCGTGAAGGTGCATCTTGAGGGCTTGTGCGCGTATGCACTTGCTAGTTGGACTTGTTTGAACCCACTTGGAGCTCCTAGTCTCAGGGGTTGTTGTGTGCGTGTCACACGCCGATCAAAACACCACAGCAACACCTGACTGATAAGCATCAAGTTGCATGTCTGCAATCAGATGGCCTTACGGTAGTTGATCACCAAACGAGGATCATCTGGTGCAAACTCTTTGGCGGCCTTGCAGTTGTGAGGGAGAGTGCCTAGAACAAATTCGGCATGTTTCTGAGTCCGGGCCGTGCCGGCCATCTGATCAATAATGACTGCAAGGTTAACCCAGACCCGGGTGGTTCTTGCCATTCATCTCTGCTTGTGGCTTGTGCTGGTTGCAAGGATCTGCAACTTTACCTATCTATCACCCTCGAAGTGCAGCTCTGACCATGTTGGAGAGCATTTCCTGGCAGTCCACCTGGGCCTTGCTCATCCTACCCAAGCCTTTGATAGAAGAGTTCGAGCCAAACACATCAAAATTCTCAATAAACTTCTTTAATGTCACATTGTTGCACCTGCATGTCTTGGGGCCAGTACCTTTGCATCTTGAATGAACACTTTCTTGCCTCGAAATCTTCCGCTGCGGCTTCGTACATTCCTTCTGCCTGAACGCAAAGTATTGCAGCTGTGGGTTGTGCACCAAATTCATGACTTTGATACAGCAACAGGCCTTGAAGCTGAAGGCTCGCCTGAACCTGACAGTTCAAGAAACTCTGATGCCAATCAGTCAATGACCTCTGAAGGCCAAGCGGCATCGCACGTGCATTTGTTGGCTGCATGTCAATCACCTTCGAGAAGTCGTCCAAGGCTCTCTTGTGCCTTGGCAGCCAACTTCAACTTTAGGATGTTTTTACGGTGAGTGAGAAGTCCTGTGGCTTGCCTGGCTTGTACAAGTGAAAAGACCGGCAACCTTGCTAGGCTTGCAGCTCTCCAATTATCTGTAAGCTTTTCGCACCTTAGAGTCTTGAATTTGGACCACAGACCCAAGCCATTCTGTGAGTTCACGACGTTCATGCAAATAGTGAGGCCGTTCCTCCCGAGTGAGGCTCATGGCTTGGTCGTACGCAGGCACGGCCTAGGTTTGAAATGGGTGTTGTTGTAGTTAGTTCTCTGCTTTGGAACACTTGCCAGTAGTCTGACGTTAGGTCAGTTGCATTGCAGGCTCATTCACTGCCTGTGTCAAAATTGCAGCCAGAAGTCGAGCTTATGCTTGCCCAAGTTGGCATAGGAGACACCTGACTCTGAGTGAGGCATCTGGAGGTCCAAACCAGCTGAAGTTGACTCGAGTAAGACATGCGCCGAGATGATAGTACACCTCTGCCTCGTGTCCTGCGATTGGCCCCTGGCAACGACATAGATTGGAAGTTGGTTGTGCTTACACGGCAAGGCCTGTGACAATGCAGCTTTCAGGTCAGCTATAGACCTGAGACTAAGTCACTAAGTGAAGCATTCTCAAATTCAGCTCGTTCATAGCTGCTGCATGGAGGTCATCGCATTAGGTTGGAGGCCATCGCTACTAGGTTCGAGGCCATCACCATTAGTTTGGAGGCCATCGCTATCAGGTTGGAGTTCTTGTCCAGCTTTCTGGAGGCATTGGACTTGCTCAGTCTCCGGCTCAGCATAATGTCTCTGCGCGTAGCGCGTGATTCCACGCCTCTAAGGCATTCTGATTCGATCTAAAATATAAGTCTATGAGCAAGAGTAAACAGCAAGTGAGCAGTCTTAGATGTGCAAGCCCTAAGGCCACCTAAGGCTGTCTAAGTCCTTCAGGGGCCCTTCAAAAGCCAACTCGTGATAACATGACAACATGCATCAAAATCAGTCGGCTCACCTGTAAAGCAATTCGGCATCACGACCATCGATCTGCAGCGCACGACTCAAATCAGCCTGGATGTGGGAAGGTGGAGGCATCTCACAGATCTCACAGATTCAGAAACTTCACCAACATGGCTTGGTTCTGCTCGTGGCCCGGCTCGAATTCGTCATGCGAAGGGTCTAGAGTCTACTTTACTTCACGGCAAAGCTCGACAGTTGCAGCGAAATGCACCCAGCTGATTAATGCCTCAGCCCTATCATAGAGTCCCTGCTCAAAGAGGCATTGCCTCAAGTGCACTTGACTGACTTTTTGCAAATCAGCCATATGAATATATTAAGCTTCTCGAAGTGCTGATTGATAATGCACATAGTTCAAAGGAGCCGGCCCTCGATTTGACAAATAGAGTGTTTGGGTGCCATCAGCTTCTATTGCAGCTGTGAGGTCGATCACGGCCTGGAAAGGCAACTTGGTACAAGTACTAGACATAACATATAAGTTCTAAGCAGCTAAACAAGTTGACCGGAAAGCTTTCACAATATCATACAATATCAAAAGCAGCCTGAGCCATGTTGCCGAAAGATCTCCATGCCAGTCCGCGCTCGCTGAAAACAGCGGCCTGATACGTTTCAGGATGTTCTCAAGTGTCTAAAGCAGCGTTCCTTTTACTGTAAGTCCTACTCATATTCTTTGTCTGCCCCAGGTTGTCACACATTTATGCTCGTCAACTTCAAATACGCCTCGGTGCTGCCCAGGTCTATTGCTCTCGACAAATCCTCAATCGCATCCTCTTCACGTCCTGAGATGAGTGCACAAAACGCTGACCAATCTGAACAAATCAACTACGACGGGAAACTTTCCTAGAGCAAAAGCAAAAGTCTAACGTCAAGGACAGTGCCCATGCGATGATAGACAACCCCGCGATTGTAGTAGTGCCTTTCGAACAAGACCCATTTTCCAAAATAGAAATTCAACGAATATATAGCGTTTGAAACATCAAGTTCCCATGCCTTCCTTTCTGTGGTTCCAGCTGAATAACTGCATCAAAGTCCACAAGCGCTGTCCTGAGCCATGAATTACCAGCAAAGCAGGCAGCTCTTCTAGAACAATAAAGTCTCGAGCTGATAGTCGCCCATGTCTCTGTAGACAAGGCCTCGTGCCTGAGTTGCCAGTATGCACACATGTTTCATTTCCTCCAAGTACCTGCCTCATGAAGAGCTTCATCTGCTGGAACACCCCCGTTGAAGGCTTCCAAAGCACCTCAGAACATACGAAGCACGGCATCCATCAGCTCTGTCATCGACGATGTGTGGGACGCAAGAATCAAATCCTTGCCATTGTAAAGTTTAGAAGCATCTCTTTGCTCCCGCATTGGTGGCACGTTCAGAGAAACACTCAAGAGCAAAACAGATTCAGTAGCTCAACACGTTTGGCAAAACAAAAAAACCTGCATGTGGACATTTTTGTTGTGCAATGATTCGCAAAGGGCAAAGGTTTCCATCGATACTTGATAAGCAGGTGGGGTTGCAGAGAGTTTAAAATCAGGTGAGTGAGCGGAGGAAAAAAATTATGATCAAAGGATGCTCGACTCCAGCATGGACCGCGGCACCATAGCACCGGCACCCTGCAGCGGCATCAGCACGCAAGTTCCAAAGCCCACACGACCAAACATCTGGCAGTGGCACCCTGCAGCGGCACCAGCACCCAAGCTCCAGAACGCACACGGCCGGGGTGACCCTCAGGGGATCTTGCATGGAATTGTCCAACAAAACTCATCCTCGTTCAAGCACTGGTCTAAGGTCGCTGTTCTGTGAACCATACAGACAGTGAAACGCAGTGTCTACGCAGGTGTATTATTAAGAGTTCTTCTCTGGACAAGCAAGTTGAAATTACACCGGCACAGACCCCAGATCAAATACCGGCGTAAAGGGAAAAAAATCATAGCGTTTGAGGGAAACAACACGTTGTCATGAACAATATGACAGCGTGTCATCCCTGGCATGACGTCATGTCGTCCCTGGCATGACACCATGCCAACCACAAGGCAATACATCCATTTCGCGGACACAATATGAAAGGATATCGTCCCGGCTATGCCATGATGTCATCCGTGGCACGGCATGATGTCATCCCTCGCGCGCCGGCATGACACGATGTCCTCCCCGGCCTGGCGTACAACCAGCAGCGCTCGCGCCAGCACCTCCACCAACACGCCCCAAGAAAACGCCGATCCAAACCAGCACCGCCCGCGTCAGCACCCGCACCAGAACGCCCCAAGCAAACGCCGATCCAGCACCCCCTACACCAGGACCCGCACCTGCACAGCACCCGCGCCAGCACCTGCACCAGCATGCCCCCACAAGACGCCGATCCAGCACCAGCGCCCTCGCTAGCACCTGCACCAGCACCCGCACCTTGCTGCGGCACCAAAGCACAGGCTCCAAAGCCCACACAGCCATACATTTAGCAGCGGCACTTTGCAGCGGGCACCAGGAATGCACACGCGCACCTCTTCCTATACTTGCAAAAGGAACCCCAATAGCTCTCACTATCTGGGAAATAACGAGAAATAATGCGAGGCACGGGCAGGTGAACCAAGGTAATGTAGAATGTTCGGCTTGCAGCCAGATGAACAACGGGACAACCCAAAGCGCATCTCCAAGGGCGGCACGGTCATACTGTCCATCTGCATGGTACATGATGCCAAGGTGAAACCTGAACGTGGGCATGAGTTGTTGGGAAGGCAAAAGCAACAATAGCAACAACCGTGTCCTAGTCCCCCATAAAATCTCGCGAAACTTCAGGGGTGCGGTGATTTTGTAATTTTGTTTCCTTCCTGCAAGGATTTGACCAACACATGAATTCTTGGAATCGAAAGCTGCGAGTTCATTTTGCGTTGACAACGGGCGAAGGGGATTGGTCAAGACACGGGCAACACCAAGGCCCAATGCCTTGACGGATGATGCCCTGCATCACAGCGCAAAGCCTCGCCACCACGACTACGCTGACCCACCCACGCTGAAGCTTGCGATATTGTTTCACCCGTTCTCCAGTAAAGTTGCCTTAGCACGCAGTGGCTACAGCGCGCCAGGCCTCTTCGTAACAAGAAATGGCTTGGCGCACTTCTCCGCAGCCCTGAAAGGCCAAGCCCTGCGTCAGGAATGAGTGGCACTAAATCAGCGTCATCTTGGCGAGAAAAAGGAGAAGCTACACTAGAAAGGTGCGCTGGCATCAATTTCACTTTCGCAGTCCACAAAATTCGCACGCTTAGTTGAAGTTAAGATGTTCTTTTAGTACCTATATAAATACGAAACTGTATATATAAAGATATATATATATCTATTTGTACACAATCAAAAAATTACACCAGCATAGACCCAGATAGCTAGGCAGAGTCCCACGACCTGTTGACATGCGACTGGCTGGAACAACAGCTTACGGCACCTCCACGCCACGCACAATCAGCTGACACCAGCACCGATCCACATTACCAGCTGACAACACCGGCAGCGGCACCAGCACCCGACCAGCGCCGCCGCCCGTCTTAAATGCGCACTCAGCCAGCTCACAGCACCAGCACCCAGGACCACAACACCAGCACCAGCACCGACACCCCTTCGAAAGCGCGCGCAGCCAGCTCATTCTTATTCGCAGCAAGAACCCCGTAGCTATCCCTATTTGGGGAATAACAACGTATGATTTTGCGCGTATAAGTTTATGCGCACAAAAGTATGCGCGCAAACAGCAAAGCCCGTAAGTGTCATTAGCCCAGGGCCAAGCAGTATCCAGCGCCACTATTGACTTTGTAGCATGCTTGAAGCAACGATCTGCAGAACGATATGGCCGTATGATCTTGCGTGTATAAGTTCATGCGCACAAAAGTATGCGCACAAAAGTATGCGCACAAACGGCAAAGCCCGTAGGCTTCACTCGCCCAAGGCCAAGCAGTATCCACGACTATTGTGTGTGTAGCATGCTGGAACACGCTAACACAATGGTCGGTTGAGAGCCTGATGTTGTGCGTAGAACATTATACGTACAAAATATGCGTGCAAACAGTACAGCCCTTGATACAGCTGTCGGCCAAAACAAAAAATGAAGAGTGTAAATACCCCACGGCGCTAATAGACAAAGAACGCTCAGGCGACGACACCGCATGATGTTGCGTGCATAAGTTCACGCGGTTCATGCGGCCCCTGAACGCTGGCTCTTCATTGTCAGAAGCGGCGCTTGGTCGCCCTTCACTGCTGCAAGCGGCAGTTTGGTACCCTTCACTGTTAGAAGCGGCGGTTGTTATCACTTCACTGTCAGAAGCGCGCGCCAGCGCCGAGCACCGGCACGCCAGCACCAGCACCCGGCCCTGTCTCCACCACGCGCGCAGCAGTCTTCGCCACGGCAACTGCAGCTCACACCACCGGCGCCGGCGCCCGCTGTCTCCACCACGCACACTGCCAGCACCCAGCACCGGCACCGTGTCTCCACCACGCGCACAGCCAGCTCACAGCACCCAGCACCAGCACCACAGCAAGCGCGCACAGCCAGCCCATTGCCGCTTGAAATAATAAGAACCCCATATAGCCCATAGCTGTCACTATCCGGCGAACACAATCCTCTCCACCAGGCACACAGCCAGCGCCGGCACCCGGCACCGGCACCCGGCGCCCTGTCTCCACCACGCGCACAGCCAGCACCCAGCACCGGCACCCTGTCTCCACCACGTGCACAGCCAGCTCACAGCACCAGCACCAGCACCGGCAATCGAAAGCGCGCGCAGGCAGCTCTCATGATTGTTATTTGAAGTAAGAACTCCATAGCTTTGCTATCTGGGAAAAAGATCCGAAAATTGACCCCCTCACATACGCAAGCTACACCACCAGCATCAGCACCGGCGCCCGGCGCCAGCACCAGTACCGGCGCCCGGCACCAGCACCAGGACAAGCAACCTGTCTCCACCACGTGCACAGCCAGCTCGTAGCACCAGCACCAGAACCGGCACCCGGCACCCGGCATTCAGCACCAGCACCAAGCAATTTGTCTCCACCACATGCACAGCCAGCTCACAGCACCAGCCCACCCGAAAACCGCGGCGGGCGATACAATGCCTTTCTATATCTCTTGCGACCTTCTCGGCCACACTGGGTTCAGGGCTGCTTGCACGCTGCAAACGGCACATGAAACAAAATGCCAAAGTCTGCTGAGATGGATTGGGTTTAAATTAGTGTGGAGGCGGAAGACCAATGTTGACATCTTGTTCTGCTTCGAAGGCCCAACACCGGCCCGCGCAAAGAGCTTGTTTCAACGAAGGCTATTTCTGGGCAGCTGCCACGAAGGAAGCACGGCGCCCACAGCTTCTGCGCAGAAAGTACAATCCTCCCAGACGTGACACGGAGAAGGCAGTCAAAACCTGTCAAGAGCAGGCCAATACAACCCGCACACCCCGAGCCAAGCCGTATTTGAGCCAGGTTCCACACACGTCTAAAAGTAGCTGAGGTCTCCTCCTCAAACGCCAACTACTCAGGGCTGAGACCTCAATGCTCATGTAAAATCTTGACGTCCACCAGGGCTTCAAGCCTAAACGGGAGGTAGCGAGGCTGCCCTTTTCGACCAGAACACGCCCTGCCAGCTGAAGACTCAAGCTCCGAACTAGTTGTTGTATCTTTTCAACTGTGACTTCTGCGACGAATCCGACGACACCTGCCAGCGCTTGCAAGCCAGACGCGCGCAGTCTTGGTCGATTTCTGCCACGGTAGCGCCGCCATGACAACGGCTCAACCGTCAAAGAAGATACAACAAAGACCTCATCACCCGCATCGCCAACCTGGAATCCGGAGTCCTTGAGCTCGCATTCTGCCAACCCTGAGCTCGGCGCGGGCGCTGAAGTATAAGTCCAACTGTTGCTGGAGAGGCCACCACTGCTCTGAGTCAAATCAGTTACGTATGCTTTGGTTGGAAGAAAGACTTGGGTTTTGCAAGGATATGATGCCACACCTGAAACAAAAAGTGCAACTTATGAGTCGTCTTGCGTCTTTCTTGCCCGATTGGAAACACCTGTGTTTGTCTGGAATGGTAAACGTTTTCACTCACGCGAACGCAGAAGCTGCTTGAAGAAAACGCTAAACAATCGGGTTTCCAGGATTTGGGGCGAGGCGCCTCGCGCAAAAATGGCTTGTACGTTATACTTCTCAAAAAATAACGTTGCGCGACATCATAAACTGGCAAATTAAATGTGGAAAAAGTCTAACTTCTTTTCGTGAGAAAAAGCAAAACGTTGCGCAGCCTCATCACATTAGTTCGATTCGTTTCAGACCTCAAAACTTGGGCTGTTTGGAAATTGTGAGATCAGCGGCTCAAGAACCTAACCCAGCGCTTGGAACGGCTACGCGGCTACGCCGCGGAAAGCTGAAGATGAGTTGAGCTAAAGGCTAGCGCGGCTAGCTCAAGCTCTAGCAGTTCCATCTCTACTTCTTCTCTGTGGGAGCTTTGTCAGAAGGCAAGGCTGTTGAGAACGCAGCCGGCCACTCCCCCTTCACAGATTTGATTGGAAATCCTGACGTTGCGCTGCGAAATGAGGCAGGGAGTTCTCTCATCTATATATTTCTTTCTCTTTTTGCTTGCGAGTACATCCGGCGCTCAAACCTCTGCGCCAGAAACATTGCTCCCTTAATTCATCTTTCAAGATTTATGAAATCGAGCAGAATATGGCATGTCAATTTGTACACAACTTTGGTGGGAATTGAAACTCCGATGATTCCCGCGTCGTCTTCGGTAATCTATGCTAGTGACATAGGGTGCTTTCACTCAATTCATAGAAACCTGGACTGCGTGACATCTAGTTACCTAACACAACTGAAAAACTCCGTCGCCCAAATAGGAACCATCCCAAACGCGCCGAACCCGCGGGCCCGTGGTCGCACGACGGGCCGATCGCGGGCTTGGGCCTGGCCAGCCACCAGCAAATCAAGGGCGACTGCAATAGTCCTCATTGGGTTAGTTTGGTCTCTGCAGTTGGGGGGTGTAGTCACATCACGCGCCGTGACCGATGCTGAAGCACCTCCACTGCGTCTACCCGTCGAAAGACACGTTGCTCAGTCGAAAGCTTTGGGAGGGCCATCACTCTCTCAATGCCCAGTATAGCTGCTTGCAAGTGACATATTGACTTCCTCTGGCGGTAACTCTTTATGCGTCCAGAATGTAAGAGGCCCCAGCACCCCGCTCTGCCAGCGCGGCACCAGACCCTTTCTTGCTGCTTGAGGTCTGCTGGCCAGCCCAGCCCGAAAGACAGCGCCTTTGCTCTTGCCCTTGTCAGTCCCTGCCAGGCCTCTGTCGGTGCTCTTGCGCTGCTTGCGAGCCCCCGATGCCTAGCCTCGAGACATAGCTCTCGGAATGCGACGATAATGTATGACACGCTTGGAGCCCACCTTCCCACACAGTGCGAGACCTCCTGCGTGATGTGGTGGTGCATGTTGCTACCAAGGCTCATTTTGTACCCAGTGCCAGTAGCACTCGTCTCTGCACACCACCAACCAGTCAGGAAAAAGCCGCTGGGCAGGAAACTCTGCCTTGAGCACCAAAGCTGCAGGTGAACGGCAGCGTTACAAGAAACCTGTTCTTCACACATGAACCCGTCCGACAGTGTCATGAGCCCTTGTTGTATATAACCGGGGATAGGGACAGTAGTGGAGATGCAGAGCAGGCGGACTTAATGCGACCACTGGCAAGGGACTTATGAGAACAAGTACCACCTGGACATACCTGTAGACCTAGACCACAATCACTGGAGAATAACTAAATTTAGGAGGAGTGCCTTGTGATGGAGGTAAGTGGCGTTTTCCGGCTCCAGGCGAATAGCCTCGCTATAGTCAGCCAAGGCCTGGCCACAAGCCGAACAAGAAGTAGAAACAAACATGGCAGTAACCAAAATACATACAGCACAGATACACACACACACACATAGCAACGAACAGAATGTTCCAACACTTTCGCCAGGCACACGTCTCTGTGGCAGCCAAGTTGAAAAGAAGCATTTCCCCTGTTAAAAAGGACCTCACAAACAAGATCAATTTTTTTAACCAAAAGGGTTGTCAGCCTCAACTTGCAAAGGTTCCCTTGCTGAGTCTCCATGCGGATGCGTTTCCCGGCTCAGCCTGCGGGGCCACAAGCGCTTCATGTTTGCGATGGGGAACCATGAAGCCAAAACACCTCCAAGGCTGCCGTGAAGTCTTCGGCTGCATCCGTGTACCTTTGACAGAACGTTTGCAGCCTGAAATGCAGCTATCGAAAGAACGAGGGTCGCACTTCTCCAAGTGATAGCAAGCCAGACCACGATTGTTTAGATACCTGCAATGCGCATGTGTCTTTCACTAATGTTTTATTTTTTAAATAAAAGATGAAGAGTCGATCTGTTTTGCACCTGATGAGCCAAAGGATGTTCTTCAACAGCAAAAGGATTCAATGTGTGTTGGGTCACAAGGTCTTTGCCCGGAAGATAATGGCGTTGAATCTTTGAATATACATATACCGTCCATGGAATTGTGTTTTTGCGTTCAAAATTATTCCTCAACCAGAAAACCACGTTTGGAGCATCGCGAATGGATGTGACATTGTGTTGGGTTGTCCTTGACATCGACTTAACATTAGATTACTGCAAGGAGTTAGTGGATGATGTCCGATGTAGACAACATAGTCTCGGAGCATAAAGCGCATTATCCTGGGTCCGAATGTCGCTCCAGAACTGTCATCCAGCCCTTGTAGTAGAAGGAAACTTACTGTACTATGACCCAACGACCTAACATTTCGCTCTTGGGTCCTTGAATTTGTTTCATACATTTTGCACCACCCATACACAAATGTACGAGTATCTCTGTGTGTGAGGGCAACTGATGAGGATATGTATCTGGAGTATTTTGGGATCCTCCCACTGATGCACCAGAAGATTTTGCTGGAACTGTTTGTTGAGAAGCCATTAATCCCTGCCTTATATTGCTTGCTTCAATAAGCACCTTGAATCACAGTTGGAGAAGTTCGGCAATCCTTGCTTAAGCACTGGCGCTCTCGGTTTTGTGGACAGCAAACTTGTTAGATATGGAGAGGTTGGTCCATCAAAGCAATTGAGGACGTTCAACTTGACTCGTTCTGTACATCACTTGCCCGTGTGTGTATCAACATACAAATGATGAGTCCCCTAGTATGGTTGGAATACTAAGATCAAGCCTAGGCATAAGTTCATTTATGCTGTTTCAACATATGCTGCTGTTTACCCATTTGACATTGAGATAGCCTTTTTGTTTTAATCAAGGGCAACTCCAGCTAGAGTAGCTAGAGTACTCTGGTTCCTTGTCGAGATTCAGAAAGAACATCAACTATTGAATTCATTGTCACAAATGAAGCTAGTAGTTAATTTAATTTAATTCTAATTCTTGTTTCTACTAGCTTCTTGTTACTACTAGTAAGGCACTTGTTACTAGTAGCGATGCACTTGTTTCTATTGTCACAAATGTTAGAAGTCTAATCCTCAGCCTTGAGATAAGTCCTCTATCTGAGAGATGTATGTGTGTAGAGTCAAGTCTTGATTTGACAGCAGTCGGATATGACAAGCAGAGTTGTATCATGTTCCTCATATGTGTGCCTCTCATAGGTGTGCTCACAGGTCTTTGCCCTCATCTGTGTGGCCAATAAATGTGTTTTTATATGTGATCTGTCCTCTTGAGTGCTCTCAAGTGTGCGCTCTCATTTGTGATAGCTAGGCTTTGAGGAAAACTTACTCTGTTTGCCTGACTGTCACTGACACAGCAATTTGCATTCATTGCGTTCAATCAATTTTCATGTGCTTGGCTATTTCGTTTGGGCGCTTGAGCTATTAGGAGTTACCATCCCAGCAAAATGAGAAGCAAAACAGGGCAGACCTTGTTGGTCGATCCAACTGTCCAATCAGATTGCTTCCAGCCCCGTTGGTGACCTACTTGACTGTGATGCAGAAAAAGGATAAAAATGAAGCAAAATGCAAAGACGAGATTGAGAAGACTGGACAACTTGACAAACAATGTTTCTTCATGTTCACCTACAAGCGAAAGGCCACTGCAAACACCGGCAGAGGCTCGTGACCCTGAAGAAGCAGAAGATGCCGGAATGTTCAACACTCTGGTGGTGTTTTTTCTGCTTTCTTTGGCTGGAATGTTTGCGTCTTTGTCAGTGATGAAAACTCTGAAAGACATGATCTATGCTACACCACCAAGGCAAAGTTTGACCCTGCGTCGCTCTGCGTATGCCAGAATCACTGAGTATGCTCAGACTCTTGGGAATGATTCCGGAACGTCCATACTTGAGCAATGACAACATTGACAGTGACACGGACTTGGAAGAATCCGATGTTGAAAATGAGATTGATCTACCTGTATGAATGGGGCCAAAGCGATGAAGGATGATGGCAAAGACTTTAGGAAGAGAAGAGGGACCACACTGTCACTGATGGGTCGAGACGACCAATGTTGTGGTCTTATGTCTCAAATCAAATGAAGAGCCATGTAGTTTAGCAAACCATTCCGTAGCACGGTTTCCTGAATGCCCGTTTTGTCTTGCTTGTGGGAGTTCATATGACATGAAGAAGGAAGGCCAGATCGCCAATTTCCATGTCTTGATGGGGACATGATCAAGAGAGCGATGGACCCAATCCTCACCAAAAAAAAAGAGAAACAATGTTCATACCATGAACGCACAATGAGCCGATGAGGAGCTCTAGACATGGAGCTTGGGGCCCTGCAGATTCATAAGTTCAAGGGCTGACTTGATGAAGAAAAACTGAGAGCTGGGGCCAATTTGAAGTTTGCCAATTTGCCAAATGGGTGCTGATTGTTGCAAGATCTAGCCGCATTATTGCCATTGGCACACCCAAAATCATGAAGTATTGTTCACGGACTCGTGGGAAATTTTCCTTGCGGCGATTAATCTAAGAGGAGTCAAAAGTTATAACCGCAAAATGAGGAGAAAAACAGGGTGGACTTTGTTGGATCATCTACCTGTTGCAAAGGTACACATGGTCCTGGCTAGTTGTGGAGCCATCGAAGTGGTGCTAGCTGCTTAAGTGGTGGGTCTTTCATTGCTGAGGAAGCTGTTGCGCTTATTAAGTGGGTAGTCAGACGTCAGAAAAGTGATGCGCAAGCAAATGGTGCACTCAGAAAAGTTTGATGAGCTTCCTCTTTGTTTGGCTAGCTATGTAAAGTAGCCCCATTTCAGCCAAGTGGGAAGATGTTTGTTGTTGTTGAGCTAGCTAAGTGCTAAACCGGTGAAGTTTGGTCACAATAAGCCATGTGGTTTCTCAAGGGCTGGTAGGCGAAAATTGAGCCAGCTAAGTGGTGAGAAATCAGATATATAGGGGTACTCCTCTGAGGTGATCTGTGGCAACTGGCATAATTTGTATTGTATACAATGATATTATATATATATATGATAATTTGTGACTGTCTTCTGTGATTTGTCATGATTCAAAATAGTGATCTCGGACTTGTTCTGATGTGTGGTGGTCTGCAGAGATGTTGTCGATCTGTGGTGATTTGTAAATGTTGGGCCTCCCAGTCACAAGTGCCAGTGTGGACTATAATGACCCCAGTGATGCAGCTTGCATCAATTGCACTGCTTGCATAGATACTTGTACAATTGATACCATCGAATTGATGGTAAGAGTTGCACTGCAATGCTGCAAAACGACTTGTGTGTCACTACAGTGAAGCGGCCTTCTTGGCCTTAAGTGCGACACCTTTGCTCCACAAAAGAACTACTTCTCTTCCTGATCCTTCTTCTTCTTATTCTTCTCCGGTGCCTTGTTCTCATCCGGAGTGTCGGATGTATTGACTTTCTAATAGTCCGTAGTATCGGATGACTTGGCCTTTTTCCAACCATGTTTATATGTATTTGCACGATGCTTCCCGTTGCAGGCAGGACACGCTGCAAACGAAGGACTCTTCTCTTGTTCTTCTTGTTGTTCCTTTTATTTGTCTTCATGTTCTTCTTTTTCTTCGCCACGTGCAAGCATGCCACCATTCTCAGATGATGGCTACGCTTTGTTTTTGACAATACTGATGTAATCACTGTGCACTTTGGACCTCGCAGGCCAAGTACAGCCGGCCTTGAACAAGGATCCAGCTCGACGGCGTTTGCAAAGCATTTCCTGGCTTCTTCCTTCACCGGCAAACAACAAAGTTGCGCTGAACATATTTAGAAAGCAGACTGAGGTCAGATCAAAGTTTTGCTCTTTGATGTGAGACAGTCCAAGATGATTGTGAGCTTCCGCACTGGTCTCAGGACACATTCCAACAACAAATTGTCCCTCTGTCATTGCCACACCGCGACTTCAATTGCGGAGCCAATCCTTGAAACTATTGCGTAAGGGTGGGACCGTGTCCAAGTTAATCGCTTCCTTCAGATTCTGTATCGACTCTGAAATGTGTCCAACCTAAGCATGCTCACAGCCCTTGTGCAAAAAGTATACTGAACTATGGCAAAGCAATGGACTCTGCGGTAGCAAATCCCACGGTGAAAAAAGGCCTTTCGACACAGGGTGCAAAACTGATTGTGAGGCAGTACCTCTTTCCTTTACACAAATAGTATGGGCATAATTCCAAATCACCATGCCTTGTACGGCGTTGCCAAACGCTTCTCCAATGCCTCAAGGTTGCAAGTGTCACATGGCCTCAACCCCACGTGTTGTGGACATGCTAAAAGACCTCCATGCTGTGCTGACCATCAAAATAAACAAGCTGTATTTTGTCTGCTTCTCACCCGTAGTGCTGCTTGCACACGTGTCCCATATGTTTTTGGCTGATTGGTTTTTTACGGTTCAAAGGGGGGTCGAAGCTTGACCGGATGCACTGGCTTCAGGGACGTCACTAGCTTTACGCTGTCAGCTACAGCAGTTTGCAAAAGAAGTGAAGCCTCCCATGTTCGCAAGAACTCTCTCACGTGTGAAAGGCATGCAATTATCGTGAACCTCTGCACACTGTATCTTCTTACTTGTACCCACACAAGAAATGCTTGGGACCACCCCTGAGCACACAGGGAAGGGCATGACAGAAACTGTGGTCTGTTGCCACTCGAAAAGGCCCACGTCCTACGTAAGTTGACGGGATGTAGGAATCCAGAGTAAAAGGATTGCAATCATGTTCAACATCAAGAAGCGCAACTTTTGTCTGGTCAGTGTATTGCATTTGCTATGTGAACACGGCAGGCCACTGAGGAGAGCCTTGGGCAAAAAAGTTTGTGCCCTTATCCGAAAGGAGCCAACATCAAACGCCGAAGCACTGCGCATCTTCTTCTCTTATTCTTCTGCTGCGCTAGTGTTCAAAGAAGTGTCCCCACTCTGCCCAAGCATCCATACAGAATTGATACAACTGCCAATATCCCGCAGAAAGAACTGACTACAAATTGCAACTGTTGGTCTGCAGTGCCTGCAGCACTCAGCCACCCCTGCTTGAGGCCAGGAAAAAGAGAAATCTTGGACTCTGTAAGCAACTTATTGTTGTTGCTGTCCTTTCGTTAAAACTACATACATAACAATGTATGATGATATACGTGAGTCAAAACCTGAGGCCACCGTGCCTGCGTGAAGCCTTCAATCGCTTTGTCATACTGCTCGAGATCGATGTGCACCAAACTCGGGATTGGATCACATTGCAGCAGCCCACAACAAACCAAACAAACGGAAAGCCGTATATAAGTACAATACGCCCGCTCGAAGTAGTATTCCGCCGCCTCCAATACCAAAAAGGTTGCTGTCCATCTTGAGCATTAAGAGCGAATCAAAACGAGTATGTAGCGTCAAGACTGGTCAAGACTCTTGCTACCTGTCGCTGGTGAGTTTCCGATGGGTCTTTCTCTGCTTTTGCCCTCTCCAAACCTAGGCAACATTGGCAGCATCAAAGATTTGCAGCAATCTGAACTATTCAGCCCAAGCGTTTAAGGCAAGGACGAAGAGCTTCATCATAATCTCGCAGAGCTTCCTAGAAACTTTCATATCTTGAACAGATCTTTCATGTCCGTCCCAAAGAGAAATGTTGGATGCATCAGTCCTCCACACGGCCTAATCGTCTGAAGCAGAGGCCGCGATGGCCAAAATGTCTAGCAGTGTGCTCGTCCAACCGGCAGCACATTCCAAAGTCCGCAAGTGCCCGTGAGTACCTGCGATGGATTCAGCTAGTAGGCAAGTTTCTGCACAAAGTCCATTAGGGCACTGTTGCACTGCAAGGAAACATCTACCTCGAGCCTGCGATCGTTCCACAAATACTGCTATGAGGTGAATGTCTCCGTTCTCTCAGTTCTCTATTGTCTCAATCATGCCAAGCCGGCTTGGTAGTACTGTGCATGATTGGGACGAAGAGAAATGGCCTGACAAGTACTCCAGCAATCAACAGGAATTTGGAAAGGACGGCAAGAGGTAAAACCTGAGAAGTGAGGGGGCGACAGCCAGCCCTCCCCAGGAGGATTTGGGCTCACCCTGAAAAAGCCTGCGGCCTAGCTTTGAGCAAGAGCAACACTACCCCTGCATGTTTCATCGTCTTCGTAACCAGTTTGTGCCTTCACGCATTTGTTCATTGGTGCTGGCTGCTACAGCTTGATTCTTTCATGTTCTTTTCATCCTTGCTCATCTCTGCCATTGGACTGCAGAAACACCGCTCGGGTTTTGGCCTCTTTCGCACATAAGCACAAAAACACTGTAAATCACAGCATCTTTCCATAGTCGCATGGACAATTCATCTCAAGCAGCTGCAAAAGCCCTTTTTCTACTCAATTCTTCCAGAAACACTGCTATTTACAGGGCTTCACCAACCTCTGCGTGAAAAAACACCGCTTTTGAAACTGTTGTCCCACCAAACTATCCAAAACACCGCTCGCCGCTCAACCTTCGTTATACAGCCTAGCCTTCGGCTGGCTTTCGTTATCTCTCTACATCAGTATCTATTTCTGCATCTCTATCTATCTATCTATCTATCCACCCACTGCTCCTCTCTCTATCTCTCTACCCCTCTATCTCTCTAGCTCTCCATCTCTCCATCTCACTATCTCTAATAATATATGTCCCCCCTTTTATCCAGCCACCAATCGACCCAACCATTCGTCCAAGTAGCCGTCCATCCGACCTATCTACACTTTACACGCATCACACATCTATCCACATCTCCTTATCATGTTCCTATATACATCCAAAGAGAAACCACTATGGAAGGATCTCTTTCTGTCTATTCACTACTACTTCTCTCTCTCTCTATCCCTTTATCTCTCTGACTCTCTATTTCTCAAACTCGCCATCTTTCTAACTCTCTCTCCCCCTTTATCAACCCACCTATACAGCCACCCATTCGTCAGACTAGCCATCCAATGACCTGTCTACACTCTATACACATGTATCCACATCTACTTATCATCTTGGTACATCTAGCCACATCTGCTTGACAATCTCTCTATCTCTCTATATATCTCTTCAACTGATCTCTCTGTCTCACCCTGTTTGCCAAAAGTGATGGATCCCATACTCTAACCCTTGACCCCAATGATGCCTCTGAGAAGAGTTGTGCGCAGCTCTCATACTCAGCCAGAGCCTACCAGCGAATGTGACTCTGTTAGACACTCAGGTCTATCTTGCTCCAACGATCTCCAAACAAAAAACAAGCTATGGCAGCGCTGCTACGCCTGATCACCCACGGAGGCCTCCAAAGGACTGAATTTCAATTCCCCCAAAGTCCAGAGATGGAGGCCCAGCCTGAGCCTTTCGGAGCTGCTGTTGTCCTTGCCGGAAGACTTCTGCAGCTTGCCTCTGCCTGTGATCTCTGAAGCCAGGTTCAAACTCGTTCAACCATCCTTCCATAGCTTGCTCAACCTGTTTCTGAGCACAGAGCTTTACTTTGTCATCTTCCCTTTCGCCTCCATGCCTTGAGTGCACGCTCAGAGCGCAAGAGAATCTGCAAGCTCTGTGTTTTGAGATTCGCGCTCTTTCATTCATCCGTTGCTGATATGACCAAGGGATCAGAGTGTCCAGGGACACGCTGGAATGATCTCAATCCTTTCACGAAAATAGCTGGGAAGTGCTTCTACGGCACTGCAACAGCGTCAGGATTGTGTATTGCTTGATGTATATGGTGAGACATAGAAGATCTTAAATGTGGTGGTGGCTCGATCTGAGTCGTGTTTTTATCCCTCTTTGTCTGTGTGTGTGAACATGGATTTCAGTGAACTGTCTTGCTCCGCTGAGGCTCTTCAAAAGGGCTACGTAGCGCTGGCACAGGCCACAAGGCAAAACACATTCTCCAACCACTACTCAGACATGACAGTGGCACTGAATATACTGTACACATCTCTGCGGCTCTTAAGTGCCAGTCCACAAAGTCGAGGTAAAACCTTGGCAAAAAAGGAAAAAGCGGGTAATCCTGTGCTTCTCCTCGTCAACGAGTGCTCAATAGAGGCCGCGAAAACTTGGCAGAAGGCTCTTTCACGCATGACTCTTTGGCTGCACAGCGGGCTTTTTGTGTCCTGGAGCTGTGTCATCTTTGCGTTCAATCCTGAATCCATAGAGAGAGAGAGAGTACTCAACCCAATCCTGGAGTAGCTTCGGCAGTCCACGAAGGAAAGTGACTCGCTGTGTCTAGCAGGTGTTGCGCATCCGAGCAAAATCCACCCCAAACTGGCTGAAGACTTAGAGGTCAAAGGCTCACGCTTTTTGGCACCTTGCCTCATCTTTCTCATTCAGCTGTTCCAAGAAGCGAATCGCTCGCACCTGAAACTTTGGCATTTGCTAGCTGGACCAGTTCCCTTTTGACAAAGCAAAGCGGAGCAAAGCAAAACAAAAAGCAAAGCAACTCCAAGCTTCGGACATTGACATCCATAAAGAATTCGGAATTGATGAAGGCCTTGACTTGACAAGTCTATTACAAAAGGTGTGACCCGCGTAAATGTTGGGCCACGACTGCAATAGTAAGCCTCTCAGACGGATTTGGACCTGAAGGACTGCTTCTTAACTTGTTCCCTAACTTGTTCCTAGCATTCAAACTTTCAAACTGATTCAAACTCCTACTGCAAAGCATCTGAAGGCTGTTGAGTTGGCATAGGCCGCTGCTTAAGAGCTTCAAGAGAATCTGATAGAGCTCAGGAGGCACTGCTTGTTGTCGGATGACACTCGTGTTGAAGCCTCGCAGTTTGAGATGTTGAAGCCTCGCAGATTTTGGAACCCTAAGACCAGCCTCTTGGCGCCGACCGGAGTAGTGGTTGGCGGTCAACACACATTAGCTCGTACCTGATGCGGCGTGGTACAGTGTCCACCAATGCGCACCAGTATGCAGTTGTTTTTGCTGGATCAAAGTCAAAGTATGAACTGATTGAAAATTTCTTTTTGTAAAAAGCATCCATACACATACATTTCTGGCAACAGTAACATGCTCACCTTTTCAGAATGCGGCAAGAAGCTGCATGCAATCACCAAACTATAAACTACCTCTATACATCTACTCCCTTACGGGATGGGTGACTAGAGCTTGCAGCCTCCTCAACATCAAACAAATCGCACTAAAGGCAAGCAAGTCAGTTATCCAGAAACACTAAATGGCCCAAAACGGAGGCTTGCAAAGCAAAACTTGATCTCGTGTCTGGAAACAGCCGACGGACAGCTTGGCCGCAAGGTGGAACGTCATCCAAACAAGGCCTCAGCTTGGCAAGGACGCAACTGCTTCACAGAGAGAATCAGTGGATCAGTCCACAAACCAGCCTTGTTTTAGCTGCCCTTCTCCTTCTTCTTTTTCTCCTTCTTCTTCTTCTGCCCAGATGACGCAAATAAAACTTCTTGGCCAAAGGACCTCCAGCTCTTCAAATGTCACATCACGCTTTGTCATCAACTCTTGTGAAAATGGCCAGCATCCGTTTCTATCAAAAGGAAAGGCATGGATGAAACAACTTCAAGGGTGAACTTTGCGCGGATGGTTCCTTCAAACGATATGTAAAATGTAAAAGCCGATGATGACCTTGCAAAAGGAAGGAAGGAAGGAAGGAAGG